AATATTGAAGAAAATGACAGTTTAACAATTTTAATTTGTCCTTTTTGTATATAAAAATAATATCCCCATCTTACCCCACGGGTGGGGCAAGATGGCGCATTTACATATAATTTTAAAATATTAAATTTTCTTGTTTTTAAAAACGTTTTTCAAAAATTAAATATTGTATTATATATTACCAAATGTTGTAGTTGCCGAGAATGAAAAAATTATCGTTCTCGTTAAAGTGGTTGCCATCTTATGACTTTTCAAACCTTAACGTTATCATCCTGCCCCACCTTCCCCTATATGGTATTGTAGTCAATGTATCGCTTATTGTTACGTCTGAAATCCGATGATTCGACCTTAATAACCCTGTATAGACATCGGCACAAATATGGATTCGAAAACAAATCTTATACGTCAGAGTCGAAAAATTGTCTACATCGGCAGTTCCCAACCTTTTCTACAGTATTCCTCCTCCATCGAAGCTCTCCTATAATTGCGCCTCCCTTGGCATGCGTACGAGTGTTTATTGCTCTGTATTTGGTATTTATTTTCTTTTATTACAAATTAAATGAGATTTCATTGCAAATATGAAGCAAAAATACAATTTCACTATTAAAAACTAGATATACTTACCTACACACTTTGCACAAACAAAATGGGTAATATCTGTATACCGGGAGTTTATTCCTTCTGAACAAAGTTATAATAATGTAAATTAAAATAATGTTTTGCATATTTTCATAAACTATAAACATCAATGTGAAAATTGAACTTGTTTTGAATTGCACAAACGATCGACGTTTGGTTCTAACTTTGCGCGGATCATTTCCACATTAAACCGTGAAACTATTATTTGACAGTAGAATAGTTCTTAATGCCTTCGCAGCTCCATCTCCATTTATAATGCAACACATTTCTACAGTTGCCAGAAGCAACAAATTCTCGGCAATAGTATGCGATTTCTTTCTTACATTTAGCGATTTTCATAGTCGCTATATAAGAAGCTTCCAACGCTTTGAGATATCGTGACATCTTTTGACATTAGTCTTCTGCCAACTCTTTTCGAATAAAAAACTTAAGTACATAATCTGCGTGCACCGTTTCCAGATGTCTTTCGAACTTCGCACGTCAAAGGCTGTCATTGGCGAGAACTTGGAAAAGAAATGACACGCCGAGGCTGTCGAATGTCGGAATTGCTACGAAAACAAGAAAATCCGAACTTAACGTAACTTGCGTCATATTGTCTGCGCTTTTTCTTTCGTTTATCGGGGGTTATACTCAGGGGCGCCGCTAGCAGTTTGAACGCCCGTGTGCAATACCGATTATGCCGCCCCCTGTTTAACTATGATTACCTACGCTGAGCTTGCCAGAAAGGCTCTTTAGTGTTGACTCATAAGGGTGTGAAAAAAGAAAAGAAATACTTTACAAAGAAAATCTATTTATTATTACTAAGTTATTTTTGTTTACTTAAGTGTAAAACCATATAAATATTTATCTATAGAAAATGAACTTCTCTTGCCTTTATGCTTGCGAATCTGCTATCAATTTTCATGTATCCAAGCAGTCTAAGATTTCATATTCAATTGAAAATATAGCTAAATTACTTAATCTTTGCTGGTGTGTTGTTGATCTTAAATTGTTTTTTTATAATTTTAACTTTGAAAAGGACCTTTCACCAAATGCAACCGAAACCGGCAATGTAAGTAATATTCCATTGCTATTTCTGTGTTCGGAAATGTTGAAATTAAGTCATTAGTAAAAAGATATTGTAATAAGGTTTGTGGATCATTAGACTTGTTTTCTGGAAAATGCAACTTTAAAGTATTGATTTCATTAAACAAATCAATACCGTCAATGTCTGTTTCACTACACGAATCGTCTTTAAGCTTCAGATTTAAATCCTAACCAAGTTAAAAGATCATTAATTAAACTTACTTGTTAGACCCATGTCAGAAGAATTATTAACAAAATAATTGCAATTTGATATGCGATAGAACTGTTCGAATGCGTACAAGTACAAATTGAGAAGGATGCTCTGTAGGGATTCCTAATTTCTCCAGTCCTGTCAACTTCTGTAATAGAGCATGACTATGAGTACTTGGCTTTCGGGCGCCGCCGGATGGTTCAACCTGGCTACACACGTTTCGCATTGCATCTTAATTCTGATAAATGCCAATAGAGGCGCTGTTAACGCTATAATATAAATAAGAATATAGTAATTGCGCGCCGGTCGGATTTTTTCTCCATGTGAAGACATTTCTTATGCTATAAGTAGGGCGGGTATTGGGACAATGACTTTGAATATTACGTGACCGATCGCTTGATTTGCCGCCCCCTGGACGTGCCGCCCGCGTGCGGTGCACACCCGCTTACGGCGGGCCTGGTTATACTTGTGTCGTCAGTGGTAATCCTGCTACTGTTGCCAGGTTCACTTTGGATTGCAGATTTTGCATTACTCATAGTTCTCTTCAAACAGCAGTGCATTCTAAATATCAAGACAATTGGTTTTGTTTAGGATAAACTAACAGTTTAAAAATTGAAGAGACGATTCAGAAAATATTTGCAGAACTAAAATGTTCTGCAAATATTTTCTGAATCGTCTCTTCAATGTCGGGGGACCCACGAACTATTTTCGGACAAAGGAGAAAGGTTTGCCAAAAGTACATTATTGTATACGATAAGGAGGTGAAGAATCAAAAGTAGCTCAGAAATTCTAATGTAATTAATCGATAACCCCAAACTAACTATACAACTATTAAAATGCAAATGTTTTTTTCAAATCTTAAAAGAAAATCTTAGAAAGAAGCATTTCTATTGCCTCCCTTAATGTTTCCGTATCAGAATAATAATTTACCCGACTCAAAAACGTGAAATTTCGGTTAATTGACCGATAACCTTTCTAATTCTCTCCTTTGTATAACTGCAAACGCCACCTAGATTAGATTTTAGATGCACTTTATATGCTTAGTTAGCTTGCATATCTTTATATCTTTGCCATAAAGTATTTGTGAGGACCCGAACAGGGGTCGATTGAGAGGTCCGAATGAAGGGTATAGATCGGAAATTTAAAGTGCTCCTTTTCAGACGCGAATGGAAAGGATTAGGTGTCTCGATTGAACAATGCAATTTTTTTTAAAATTCCTTAAACGGAAAGGAATAAAGTCGAGAAAACTCGACGAGAGAGAGGAATCAAATTCAGTCGCAACGTTGACCTCTCCCGCGCCCTCCATTAGGTTTCGAATGTTCACCAGGTGACAAGAGAGAACAATGGAGAGGCGACTGAGGTTAACAAATCTATAAAACCGAGCGATTCAAGTTACAAAAGTTATTGGTTCATAGTCTTATCCTCCTGGACGTGTGACGTGTGTCCCCGCCGAATCTTGGGAAAGAACGTTTCGGATCTAGTGGAAGCAACCTCAATGTGACCTCCAGGCTCGTCGGTTCGTCCGAGAAAAACCACTTGAAGCAGTGCCATTCGCCGCGGGGCCGATGATTATTTCACAGTCTTCGCCGAACTGTAGAAAATGGAAACGAACTTTTCGAACTCTACTTGAACTTTATCCTCGTGCTTCGTGGTGTGATAATCCGTCAATCAAGAAAATATTGTAAATTATAATTTTATTAAACGGTTTTATATGGTAAACCTGTCTCGGTGAGCCATTCTGCGCCCACACGACAGTATTGACCGCTCGGCTGTCGAAAACTCCTCACCCCAATCGGCTAACATCACATATTTGCCACTACCTCGAAACACTCGAAAGTAGAATTAGACCTTTAGCAGCTTTCCATCAGACAGAATAAACCGTCTATAGAGTGCGTGATATTAATATGCCTTTTTAAAGTGGCACATTTCGTAGTCAGATCAGAAGCCTTTTCCACAAACGGAGCGGAGCGGGTGAATATCCGAATTCAAATTTAGATCCTTCGAGATGGCCGTACGATCCAAAGCTGTATTAAGTGTCGCGTGACTATTGGCTACAAAAACATTACGTCTGTATTCAACCGTTGAGCTTTAACGCATAATAAACGGTAAGGCACTTGCGTGCAGATCTTCATGTGTTTTCCACGCGAAACTTTTGAACCTCCACTCCTAGACCCATGTTAAAAACTTACTGCCTTCAACCGCACTAATTTCCACCACGCCACACTCTTCCGTTATCCGAACCAGAAAAACCACTCGGAGACTTTGTTTTCTTTTATGTTTATTTTCAACGTGATTGGTCAATTTTCCGTCCGAAAGCGGCTTTCGTCACAGTCGACGTCGACCACCGATTCCGATGGATCGAGAGTAAAAGGAAAAGAAGAGAAAATATACCGATCTAAATGGAATGTAAATATGCGGAAATCATCGATTTCGACGGCCGGCGTGATCGTTCGGTCCAAAACATTTGGCTTCCACACCACCTCTTCTGCCCCCGGGGCCCGGGCGGAGCTCGGGCGGCGAGGACCAGAAGACCCGGAGGGTGGATCCGGAGCTCGGGTGGTCTAGGAGAAAGAACGGGTCCGTCTCTACCTAATCGATTCACTCTTTGAAAAATAACGGCTCTGGGAAAGACGAGACCAGACGGAAGGGAATCAAGAGAAGAAAAAGTTTAAGGCTCGGTTGACGTCGTAGTCGGCTGCCAGAGAAATTCGCACCAATTCTTCTCCGGGAACCGCCTGTCCCACGATGTCGCGCAGCTGGGCCACGCAGGCCTCCAGTCGGGCCGAGTCCTGAGTCAGAGGCAGATCTTCTAAAGAGCTCGAATCCGACGCCGCATCGCCCTGAAAAGACATCAAATTCCTTCTTAGAAACAATAATTAAATCCCACAAAACTATTCACTAACCAACGATTCGTAAAACAAATTAAAAACAAAGTTCGGGGTTAACTCGACGTCGATACTCTTTGCTTCCGACCCACTGAATTTCGTACCCGTCTTCGCTACCACGCTGTTACTCAAACCGTGGTTCGCGGACATGTGCTGACCCGTTTTATAATTATTTTTTATTTAATATCGCAAAAATATTGGTAAAAAACAAAACTGGTCCGTAACGTAAAAGGTTCGAGAAGCGCTGCACTAATATGTGTTGTGTCTATTGTTTGAAATAAAACATTTTACAGTAGAGCGTCGTTTATCCGAAAGAATTCCAGTCGGCAAATTTAAATTTTTGCTAGTGCTGTGGCGCTGCAATCTTTGGCTATGTCTTGGGCTACTCAAATATTTTACGTATTTGATACTAAATTAACTTCTCAAGTATAATTTTTTTATTGTTTTTATATTTTTCAATATATTTGTTTTGTTTGTACAAAATAAAGAAATAATTTTTAACGATACAATAGCCACGATTATTATTATAAAAAGTTTACGTTAGGCTTAACATCGACGAAAATTCAACGCGAAGCGACACGCAACGGAGAAAAATTTCAACACGAGATACGTTAATATATTTTTTCGTACATAATCGGTTATCCGAACAACCCCAGTCCCCAATTGATTCGGATAAACGACGCTCTACTGTATTTCCAAACGTAAAAGTCTGTATTGGTCACATATCTTGCATATATATTATTGTTATAGAACTTTACTTTTTAAAATTAAAGGGATTAGTTATATAAAACGTATATATTTGTAAATTTTGATAATACATTTATATAGTTAAAAGCATTTAATTTCAATTTTAAATTAATTCGATTATTCGCACTCATTGTTGCTGTCTTCGATGTCGTGCCGACAAGCCGCCGTGTTTAAATGAAGTACAGTAATTAGAATCGACACTCCAAAGTCCACTTACAAAACGAGTTCTTTTCACTATTTTCTTTGCGCAATATTTTATAATTATATTAAATGTTAAATACGTTTAAAATCCATGTTGCTGATGTTTTTGAACAGTTAATGTTTTACTTAGATTTACATAAATGTTATTAAACTTTTACACATATACAGTAACTAGCTGTTACCCGCGACTTCGTCAGCGGAGGTTTTGCAAGCAAACCCCATTTACATCCAATATTTCAATAACCATAGTAATTGTTATATAACACCTACCGCTGAAGAGAATTGCCGAAAATCAAACGAACTATTTTCAATTTGATCAATTTTCTGAAACGTTTACAATCGTTCTATAATCGAACCAATACGCAATAACAAATTCGAATTTAAAACGGTTCGAACATTTTTAAAATTGAAATATATAAAAATATTTAAACAATGTCTGAAATGTGATCAATTTAATACACCTAAGTACTCGATGAAGACTAAACGTAGTTGAAAACAAAAAATCGCATCTAAAATAGTGCAGTAGAAGCCGTTCTTCCGGTTAAGCCTTAATCCTCTCCCTCTCCCCCCGCGTTGGAATTTCGAAAAATCCTTTCTTAGTGTGCGTTTCCATGACGTACCCTAACTGTGTACCAAATTTCACCTCTTTAGGTTAAGCGGTTTGCTCTGGGCGATGATGAATCAGTGAATGAATGAATGAATGAGTCAGTCAGGACAAGCAATTTTATATATTTAGATATGCATATTATGCTTACATTTTATGAACATTTTTCTAATAACTATTTGCAATTCCATGTTTTTAATATTTTTAGACAATGTGAAGAGACAATTCGATTTGATATATAAAATATTATTATATGAGATGGTGGTTTAGCCACCTACTTATAGCCAAATTACTTAATTAATAATTACAGTGTAATAAAAAAAATTATCAACCTCCCTTTTTATAAAATAACATGAAAATAAGTGGGTGTGGCAACAAATCACATCCTTACAAGAGGGTGTATTGGGATGTTGTTGTGAAACAAGCTGACCAAAGTGGTGCCAGAGGCACAAGTGTAGTGTTGTGTGTGCAATGTTACTGTAAAAAAATTATCAATACATCATTGTGATTGTAAAGGAAAAGGAGTGTATAGTATTTGTCCTCATACTGCTGTTGTGAAGATAAAGATATCTGCTGTTGATGATAGTAATTTTTGAATAAATTTATAATTTCTATCAAGTTTAGTTGCGGAAAAGTGTAAGAATCTCAGTGAAATTCTTATACTTTCCCACAACTAATTTGTAAAAGACAGATTTGCTAGTTTGAGGTCTGAATGGGTATTTTTCATGCAGAAAGCAAAGAGAATGGGAAGGCATAAGAATACCATATCAAAATATTCCAATAAAATTCAGAGTAAGGCTGGCAAGAAGGTATCTGGGCAAAATGAAAAGCTGACAGTGAGAAACACTATGTTTTCCAGGTTCTGTCCAAAAGAAGCAGTTCGGCGAAGAAGATACGTGACTAGTTGAGCCACAACTTGACCTATCCGACTATGTGAAACATAACAGAGAGTTCTTGTAACTTCAAAAACATGAAAAAAAAAAGAAAAAGAGAAGCCCGATGCTTCTGCCTCAACATATCAAGCGGCCCTTGATATCTAATTTACAAGAAATCATCATATGTAGGAGCAGTAATGGCAAAATGCGATTTTTTTTTGGATGAAAAAAGTTCAATCTAGATGGTTCTGATTGTTGCCAGTATTAGTGGCATGATTTGAAAAAGAACCAGAAAATTTTTTGCAGTATACTGGTAGCAGAGGTTTGCTGATGATTTAGGGTATCTTTTCATGGATGGCAACAGCACTTTGGCTTTAATCAACACTAATCTGAATGCAAAAGGTATCAACAAATGTTTCAACAGTATCTGCTGCCCATGGCCTCTGAAATTGCTGGCAACAACTATACTTTCTACAATGTGCCACGTGGCTCACAGAACTCAAGTGTTTATACACAATATTAAGATACTCAAATGTCCATCATGTAGTCCAGATCTTAACCCCAAAGAAAACTTATGGGGTAGCTTGTGCTGCATGGTCTACACCAATGAAAAGCAGTACAATTATGACCAAGAGTTTGAAGTCTGTTTTCCATGCATGGGATCAAATTCCCTTCTGTTGATCTAAAGATCTGGTTATGTTAATGAAAGACAGAATGTGCTTGATTTTAAATAGAGAAAAGGCAATTGACTATTAAAATAACTTTTCTCTTGTTTTTTGATCGCTCTGTGAGAAGTTGATAATATTTTTTACAGCTGTTTTGAATACGATTTTCTGCAAAACTTTTTACAGTGTATTTACAAATTTGCAATTGAAATTAATATGCATGTTGATTCTGATCATTATTTGTGTAAAAACCAGTTTCCACATTTTTAAAAGCAATAATAACAACCTTTTTGTAGTGTTGATAATTTTTTTTACCACAATGTAATTAGCCTTAGGCATTCCTGATAGACGTTCCTACTGTTTGTTCAATATTTAAATTAATTATCAGGTTGGTTACATGTGTTCTTATGATAACATTTGGCCTGATTTTATTTTTTTAAAAATATATTTTTAATTATCTAAAAATTTATAAAAAGAATAATTAAAAACTATAGATTTACCTCTTTTCCTGAGATATTCATTGCCGAAGTTAATTCTTCAATATCTAAAAGACTAGATGACATAGAACTTGGACTATCCGGACCCAAATACTGTGGACAAGACAGTTCTTCACTTCTTTGAGAATTCCTTGTAAATAAATTATTAAATTTGATTATTAATAACATTTTAAACATTTCAGTTCATTAAATGTATCTAATGAGAGTTTCTGCTAAATTGAAACATAGTTAAATAAAGTTATTTCTTAAAATATTTCTGAATTTTTTAATTTTATATAAGTATGTTTTTAAATGCATAATTAAATTATTTTATTAAAACTTGATTATGAAGAATTATTATAGGAATGGTTTATATGTGAATGAATTATAGAATGTATTAGGGTACATTTTACTTTAAGAAGTTCATTATTAATAAGTTTTAAAATCTACAAGACTGAAATAATACTATTTTATGTATAATTTTACTGTACACACCTTAACTCGACCCAAGCAATCATTTCTTCAACTTCAGATTGTAAATCTTCTGGTAAATCATAAAATACTTCACTTTTTATAATATCTTTATTCATGCTGATAAATTCAAGTGCAGCTCTCTGAAAACCAAAGATAATTATTTAAGTTAGATACAACTGAGGGACAAAAGTCTGCAACAATCAATGTTTTTTAGCTTCAGTAACTTTGTTGCCATATTAAAAAAAACTAATCAAATTTACATTAAAATTATTAATAAAGTAGGAAGAGACAATCTTTTTCTTTTAAAACATCACAAATTTTATTATGAAATTATTTATTTTCACAGTGCAATAGTAAAAATAATAAACATATCATGGACAAAAATCCTGCAACACAGGAAAACAGAGATAAAAGTCCTACAAATTTGATTTTAGTATTGTCTCTCCACCTTTGGCCTTTAAAACTTCTTTCTGACATGAAATATACTAACTTTTTACATTCTTGAATAATAATTTCCTTCTATACTAGTTCCTACTGTATGTTTTCCTCAAAATCTTTCAAAGTTAAAATATGCTTTTGTTTCAGTTGTTTCTTCACCTTATCCCATATTTTTTCTATAGAATTAAGGTCTAGTGGATTGCTGGGACAATCTGATGTCTCTATTCCCATATTTTCAAAATATGATTTTGTTTTCTGATCTATACGAGCATGTGCACCATTCTGTTGATAAATGTATTCACCATCAGAAAATAATATTTAGCTATTGGTATATGATTTTCATCCAGTATATTAATGTAAACTGATGAATCAATGTTAATGCTTCATAATTCATAACCTCCCAAGTCCATAAGCAGTTAAAGTTCCATACATTGTAATCCCTGGTGTGAATTTTTGTGAGGTCCTGGATAGGTCTGAACCAAATTTGTGAACAATTTATTAGATTTAGAAAGAAAAGAAAAATGTTTGCAGATAGATACAATTTTTTGTTTAATTGAAAGACATGACAGGAAGTAAACAATTGAAGGAATGTAGTCTTAAGATTGATCATCTCTGGTTGAGAGGCCTAATTTGAGAGAGAATGACCAATCGGAGTGGGAAATCAAAGGCAAAAACTTATTTAATCCCAGTCTTCAATGACACAACACACTGCATGGAGAGACAGACAGAGCAAGAGTGCACAGATCATACGTCAGCACTGCTCAGAGGACAATGCACTGGGAGACACAACCAGACAACGTGCCCAGTTGGCCACAATGCCAAGCATAGTGCACACACAACGTCAACATATGGCAGGAGTTTCTTTTACCTGTGTTTTCGGTCAGTACCATGCCATCAGGGTGAAATTGACAGCACAGCATCTCTCATCAAAGACTGTTGACCACCTTACCAAAATTGTGCATCTCCAACATCACATTCAAGTCGGTGAAAGACACCCTACCACTGCCATTGTAGCAGCCAAAGACTACAGCTGCTACAATGGCAACTCCACTGACACTTCACATTGGACTATATTTGCTTGGTGAGCAGACTTTTGTACCTGCCTTGATAAACTCAAACTCTCTGCCATCCATTGTTGTAAGCAACTTTTTGAGTATTATTCAGTTTATTTTATTATGTTTTTTAAAAATTAATGATTCATAAACACATCTACAACTTTTAGTTCAAATAAACCGTTTTATTTAAAGGAGCTTGTATTCATGTCTCTGCCACCATCACCACATACTATGGGATCCTCAACTATCCAAACATGGAATTAATGATTCCACCCTAGTCAACTAATCCATATTTTATAGTCATAAAAGAGCTTCTTGCCTCAAATAATTGTTGAAAATAATATCTCAAATACAATGGTACAGATAACAGAGACTTATCAAACTGCTAATGGTTAATGATTAAAATGACACTTCTACCATCAGAATGCAACTTTATTACTGGTATGCTTTTCAGTACACAAGACCCTTATTAGCCACACATAAAAATATATAATAATAATATATATATCTACAACAAAATATATTACATTTACAATTAAAATAACACAAAAAGTCTAAGATTTCATTACAAAAGAAAATTTCTAGAAACTAACCTGTTGTAGACAAATTTGCAGAGAAACTGATAACAATTACAATTTACAGTTTAAGACATACCTAAAATAATTTTAAAGAACAGTTTTAAAAAATTTATTAATTTAAATTGTATACATATAATACCAGTTTACAAACTGACTTATTCAAGATTTATTTCCACCCACACTTCAGAATACTAGATGTTGATGAAAAATATAGAATAAATAATAATGAAGGAAGAGTAATATGTAAATCCTGGTTGTAATTTTTACCCAATAGGGAGAGATGTAATAATAATCGTACTACACTGTAAGTTGAATTGTAATCTTAACCACTATTGTCAAATGTTATCATTTTAGATATTGTTGGTGAGTGTTTTCTTTTAAACTGTTATTATATAATTAAAATGTTTGTAATAAGACTTAAATTATATTAATTTTAGGCCTGTTCATAATGTAACACATATTCTGCAATTGGCAATTGAATCAATTTTTTCTGATGACTATAAAATTTATCATCAAATAGCTCATAGTTGTGAGGGACCTGGAAGACCCAGTGGAGGCTTAATTTTCGGACTCAGATCAGATGTAATCTCTATGGTTAAATTGATATTTCAGACATCTGATTTTACAACTAGATACTGAGGAGTTAACTAATATCCAGTTAATAGTGTCCTATATCCTTCCTGACAGTAATTATGACAATGATTTCAAAAATACTTTGTTGATTATAGAAGATTACTTGCTCCATGGAACTAACTTGATTTTATGTGCAGATTTTACTGCTAGAGTGGGATATCCTGATTATTTGTCATGTTTTACTGGTGACTGGCAAATTGCTCTCAGAATTTCAAAGGATTCTACAGTTAATAACAGAGGAAAAATTCTTTATAAGTTTTATGAGGATAATAGTTTTGTTTGTCTAAATGATTTATTGCCAGGAGATAAAGAAGGTAATTTTACTTTCCATGCAATCAATGGAGCCAGTGTAATTGATTTCATAATAGTGTCACAAGAAATATACTTTAGTGTTGTAAATGATTTCTGTGTCTTATCAGAGATAGGCTCAGACCATTCACCTGTTCTTCTTTTAATAACCTTGCTGATTTCATCCAGAGTTCCTAATAGTCAATACATTGGTAAACATGCAATATGGAGAGATGAATAAATCTTCATTTGCTGTTACATTAGACAATGTTTTACCACAAGAATATGGAGGAAATCTCACATTTTATGATTTATTAGAATATATAGCAAAGGCAGCAATGTTTCTAAATTTAATTTATGATGTTAAACCTGCACCTTGCAAACAACAAATAACAAATGTATGATATGATAGCGAGTGTTTGATCATGAGAAAAAATCTGTGGAAACTGTTTAAGAATGCAAAAAAATTAAATATGGATGAATCTTATGCTTTATATAAAAGCTATTTAAAAGAATATAAAGTACTATGTCAAAATAAAAAACAGTCTTACTTTTGGAACTTAAATAAAAGATTGATAACATCCTACAACTATAAAATATTTTGGCAAATAATTAATACTTTTAACAGTAGAATAGTGTGGGTGTCAGCCGCCCGAGGCGGAGGAAAATTTCGCCGTCCCCTTATTTAGGTATCTCAATTTAAAAGACTAAAATTCAGTTTCATTTTCAGTAAAGTTATTTCGTTTGATGATTTCTTCTGTATTACTTTATGCTGCTCCTGTATGGGCAATTACTTATTATGATAAGCTGGAAATTGTCCTTGCTTTATATCTTCGACAAATTTTTATGTTATACCATAAAATTCCAGCTTAAATGTTACATTTTGGAATTTGGTGTTTCTAGAATATCAGTAGTAATAATAAAATCAATAGTTTCATTTTGGATTAGACTTTTGAAATTAGATGATAAAAGTTATGTTAAATTAGCATATAATAAATTGTGTTCAAGTATGGGCAATTCTACATATCATTGTTGGCAATTCTACATATGGTTGTTAGCATTGAAAAATTTGCTAGATTAACACGGTTTCTCTTTCCTATGGCTGTCTCAAGATCCTCATTTAATCAAAAGCTATCAAATGTTAATTAAAAGAGTTGCTATGAGCAAACCATACAAGAAGATTGGTCTTTGCTGAAAAAAAACAAACATTTTCAATTATATCGTAGTGTTAAAACAACTTTTGTGTGTGAGGATTATTTGTTTATGGACAAAAACTATCATGTAAAATGTTCAATACTGCAAATTTGATGTGGTCAAAATTATATTTGGACATATAATAGTAGTCTAATATGTACGTGGTCCAAAGAAGGCTGGAATCAGCACAAGAAGAAGTCATCTAATAATAAATGCTGAAAAATTTTGTAGTAATTGTAGTATGCAGGTGTATGAAACCTGGGAACATGTATTCTTTCAATGTATAAAATTTGAAACAAGCGAGAAAAAGTATTTGATAAGATTTAAATCCTGGAAAGATATAATCAATATATTGCATTTGTTTAAAAATTATTATTACTGTATATTTTATTTTGTGTTATCCTGTACTAGGCTATTACATTAATTCGTTAAATTGTACTAACTTCAGTTTTGTATATCACTGTATGTGTTTCATTTTGTAGTATCTTGTATTAATCTGTTGTATTAACTTATTTTGTTGCACTAACCTCAGCTTTATATTACCCCCTTGTAACGAACTAAGGTTCAAACAATAAAGAATTATTATTAATATTATTATTATAATGTAATCCTCATAGTACTCTGCAGGGTGGGAGGAAATAAATCTTGAATAGGTCAGTTTGTAAACTGGTATTATATGTATACAATTTAAAGTAATAAATTTTTTAAAACTGTTCTTTAAAATTATTTTAGGTATGTCTTAAATTGTAGATTGTAATTGTTATCAGTTTTTCTGCAAATTTGTCTACAACAGGTTAGTTTCTAGAAATTTTCTTTTGTAATGAAATCTTAGACTTTTTGTGTTATTTTAATTGTAAACGTAATATATTTTGTTGTAGATATCTATACATTTTTATGTATGGCTAATGAGGGTCATGTGTACCAAAATGCACACCAGTAATAAAGTTGCATTCTGATGGTAGAAATATCATTTTAATGTTACCATTAGCAGCGTGATTAGTCTGTTATCTCTACTATTGTATTTGAGATATTATTTTCACATCATCTTTGTATTTCCATTGTTAAATAAACAAAATCTACATTTGTCATTAAATATTACCTTTTTCCATTTATTAATGTCCCAATCTTTATATTTTCTACACCACATAATTCTCTTTTGTTCCATTTCACTGTAAGCAACGGTCTCTTTTTTGTTTGCTTAAATCTGTAGCCTGTTTCTTAGTCTTCGTCTTGTTGTTTTTTCAGAAATATTTTTTTAGTTATTTCACTCCTCTTGTTAGTTAACATTTGAGCTGAATTTTTCCTAGAACTTCTTATAAGACTTCTGAGAACTTTATCTTCTGTCTTTCTAGTACAATGTGGACTTCCTGATCTAGGCTGCATATTTGTTTTTCCAGTTTCTTTGTATTTTTTAATGATTCTACCCATAGTAGATTTGTGACATTCAATCAGCTTGCTTATTTCTGGGCTGGAAACATCTAAATTCTTTTAATATGTCTTTTACAATTGGTTTAAAATTAGAAGCTATAACTAATATTTAAATTCTAACAAGTCCAATATGCAAATTACTTCTGCTAATGCAAGTTAAAACACAATGATTATTTTCTATATAAAATATTGCATTGTTTATAAAATATTTTTATGAATTTAATCAACGTTGCAAGATTTTTGTCCATGATATGATTTTACTTTTTTCTATTGCACCTTGAAAATGAATAATTTTATAATAAAATTGTGATCTTTTAAAAGAAAAAGAATGCCTCTTCCTATTTTATTAATTATTTTAAGGTAAATGTGATTAGATTTTTTTATATGGCAACAAAGTTAAAAAGCATTGCTTGTTGCAGGACTTTTCTCTCTTGGTTGTATATTGTAGCCATTTTATATCATTTCAGAATTTATAATAAAAAATTGTTTCGTAATATTGTTGAACTCTGTATTTAAATTAATTTAGTTAATATACCATGTAAATTAAAATAGATGGTTTTTTGGTAGTGTTTGTTCATAGATTTTTTTTATCCAGTGTTATTCATAACTACATAAAGAATCTTGATATAATGCAGAAAGTATATAAAAAAAAAAAAAGCAAAAACACTCAATGTTTTCATTTAGTAATTTTTGTCAATTTATATCAAAAACTAAATGAATCATTTTGCATACCTTTTTATTAAATTAATACAATAGTAATTTCAGAATATAGAAAAGCATATTAATATATTACTCAATACTGCTATTTCTTAACAAATTTTGATTTTTTTTTCTAAAAAAGCATAAATGCAAGTTTTATTTTCTTGAAAATTAATAAGTTTAATAATATATTTTGATGTACAGTACTATCATCACACCACATTGATTTACTTGTTAATTAAATTGTTTTCACATTGTAAATTTTGTTGGAAAATATTTAATTATATTAATTAACACTGATTTAAATTCCAGACTAGCAATGGCAAAAATTTAAATAAAGTAGATACTTACCCTTAAAAATTTAGCATTGAACTGATCTCCTATACTAAGTAGAAACAATGCTGAATCTTCGTCAATGTGTTTTTTTAATGATTCTTCGGAAATTTGTTTCAGTGAGTCAACCTGTAATTTATAGAAATAATGCATAATTAAGAATGAATTATTATTGAAAAAAATTCAAAAATATAACAAAATTCAATGGCTTCATTATAGATGAATATATTGTACATATTTATTTGTATATATATTTATATATAGTAGGTGGTTGGTTAACAAACATAATATTTCCAAGACCATGTTCGCTATCCGAATTGTTCATTAACCATTTATCGATTTACCATAGATTTTTGTGGTAAAATGGTTATGTATACAACTGTGAAAATCTCATTCCATAAACCATGTATGCCATTAAAGTATAGTTTTACAAATCTTAAATGCAGTGTCACTTCCCATGTTTGTTCTGTGAGATGTTTGTTTTCCGAACATTAAAATCTTTCACGAAAGTGTTTGTTGTCCGATTTGTTCACAGTCCGAACTGTTCATTAACTGATCATCTACGTTATTTACTTTAATAATCATTTGTAATTTTTACCTTTTCAGCTTTATAATTATAATTTTTGTCTTTATTGTAATTTTTATCTTTTTGATCTTTTATATCAAGATTGTTATTTATTATTCTTTTGAGGAGTGACCATTATGCTTTATAGCATTGCTAATGTAATCTTGTAATAAATAATTAAGAATACTGATATTAATTAGTTTGATTAAAATCACAATGTTTATCAAAAACTAAGTTGTCAATTAAAAATATTGAAATTATATTTTAATAAAAATAAAGGTTGTTTACATTACGAACTAGGAAAAAATAATACAAATTATTTCATAGACGAAACATCAATTAAAATGAAAAACTCCAACAACTGAATGTATTAACTAAAATTAATATGAAAAAACTTTAAACCCAGTAAAAATAGAACATTTATTAATGGAATGAATGTTTTTGACCATGTACAATGGCCATCTTCAGATTCTGGAATGGAATTAATGAATAGAACAGGAAACACATTTGAAATGAAAGACATTTGAAAATTACAAATTTACATAGCAAGTCACATCACAGGAACATAAAATATATTAAATAAAACATTGAAAATAGGAATAAATGATTAACAAGAAAAATATTAAATACAAAATAAAATAATAAATAAACACAGCAATAGATACAAATACAGTAGATCCCCCTATAAGACGGTAGATACGTTCCGTTCTTTATGAATCAATTTTGTAGGAATCATAGTTTACGGACTACGGCTGTTTGAAAGGTTTTCTTTCATAAAATTAATCGATTCTAGACTAATTCGACTCAACATTTCCAAAATACGTATATTTTTTTTAAAATAATCCGTATAAACTACGTTATAAACAAAAAATTGTAGGATTACTTACCGAGTGTGTACCCTTTGACTACGCTCGTTGCTAAAGCTTGGTTTCGTCGCGGAACAGCGCATCAAATTGCGGCCGCGATTTCTGATATTATTTTTCTGCGAAAACTTCGTTGACCTTTGGAGACATCATTAATATAAATAATTTTTATGGCCGTTAAATAAGAAATGTTTCTTTCACAAGAAATGTATAAAATTACAGTACTAAACAGACGATAGGTCGCCTAACTCGCCGTAGCGTGACGCTAGACGGCGAAAAATATATATTTAATTATAATAAAGTTACAATAAATTAAGTTAATATATAATTATATATACAGTACCTAATTTATATATAATTAATATATAATTATATGTACAGTACCTAATTTATATATAATTTATATAATACTGTCCAGACGATATAAATCTCTCCGCAGCATGGCGCTACGGACGGCGGGTAAGTAGTTCGGCTGCCCGATGACGTTTTACGTATTATAGGAGTTATTTTTACCGTTGTTTACGGATAATGCCACAATTTTTATAGGAATCATAACTATAGGAAACGGTTTTATAGGGGGATCTACTGTACTGCCACAATTTTTATAGGAATCATAACTATAGGAAACGGTTTTATAGGGGGATCTACTGTATTGTTAGAAAAACTATAAACATATCAAAATGGTAATAAACAAAACTACAAAACTTTCAAATAATGCTCTAAGCATGTGATATGACTGCAGTATCTTTAAAGTTAATAGCGGCCCTTTCTTACTAGCTTTATAAATTTCGAGAGTTTCCAAATATTTCTATATATAGAGAATTGTGTCTTAGCCAAAGCACAATGTAATAGGCATGCCCTATTGTAAGAAACATTCACATCACTGTCATAGTACCGAGGTAGTTCATAGGTGCTTCTTAATTAATATACAAAATCCTTTTCATTACTCAGGAATGATAAAGATTGTGCTGATAAAAGGACCTGGGGTCTACTCAGTTCCTTTACAGGCTAACAAAGTGGATCATAGCTACAAATACATGAATTGACTTTATAGATCTTTGAGCACTAAAATGAGAGAACATCATGAAATCTTTAGGAAGTCCCTATATACAACTGCCTTGTCTTTGCTTGTGATAGTAATGTGGATGTTTCTTACAATAGGGCAAGCATACTACATTGTGCTTCGGCTATGACTCGTCTCAAACAGTCCAGGTTGAGATGCTTGAGTATGGTGTTTGAATTAAGTAAACTCATAATTTTGAGATCAATCACATTAACCTTAATTAATTCTAACTGTAAATTATGATTATAACAAAATAATAATAAATTAAACTAAATTGTTATCCTATGCATTAAAGTTTTAATGCATCCTATGCATTATAATTTTAATGCATAGACCATTGGATATCATGTGAAGTCCCAGACAGAAAATTTTTAGAATATGATATTGTACTAAATTGTTATCCTATGCATTAAAACTATAAGCTAACTCAGGGAGTTAGGTTATAGTTTTAATGCATAGGATAACAATTTAGTCACAGCATTAATTAATAATTAATTAATTAAAGCCATAGAGATTTTCTATACAGAACTGAGTCATAGCATTTGAAAACACTGCTAATTGCTTCTTCTAAAATAAATGAACTTAGAAGATAACACACAAACAAGTAAAATGGCAAAGCCATTTTTGGGATGAGACTACAGTGGTACCTCAGGATACGAAATTAATCCGTTCCGAAACTGAGATCGTATCATGAAAATGTCGTAAGGTGAATCATTTTTCCCATACGATTACACATAAAACCAAATAATTCGTTCCAACATGAAAAACACACTCAAATTAAAGCTAAGTTGTACATTAAAAAAAAAAAAAAAACTATAGTAAGGAAAACACTGAAAAATGCATTTTGTAGTTGTAAATGTATAAATAACCATAATAGAATAATAATTGATTAAAAAAAATGTAGTTTTATTTGCACTTTACCTTTGAGGATAGACGACGGTGGAGGTGTAAACTGGTGGCGGAAGAGAGGGAGAAGGGAAATGATACTAAAACTTAACTTACATAACATAATGTAACAATAACTTAAAAATAACTTAGAAAAGATTAAAAAATTAGTGTTGTTTTATATATATATTTTTAATTTTTCCAGTGAAATAAATAAAATCCAGTGAAAGTGCTGGTGGAAGTGAAGGAAAGAAAGCAAAAAGCAGTGAATAAAATTCACTGCTTTTTGCTTTCTTTTTTTTTCCTTCACTTCCACCAGCACTTTCACTGGATAGAGGTGGCTTGGTAAAATATCTATCCAAAGAGGTTTGGCTTTGCCTACTTTTTAAAATGTTTCTAAAATGATTTAGGCAAATGTCATTAAACTGAGCAGCAATATGAGAAGTGTAAACCTTTTCGGGATGTTTTTTTTCAATAAAATCAGTCACTTTCTGATAATACCTCGAGATTTCCTTTATTGAGCGAGATCCTTCCACGATGAAGCAAACATGCGGACTGAGACCGACAAACAGAAGTGAATAAAAAAGTGGCGCTGCAAACTAATGTAACGTCGTATGGTGAGTTTTTGTTTGTATCGTGGAGCAAAAACTTGTTCAAATTTCATGTCTTATCCTGAAAATTTCATATGCTCCGGGATGTTCGTATCCTGAGGTACCACTGTATGTCTTGGAGAGTTCAAGCAATGCATGCACAAATCTTGCACTCGTGCCTGTTTGTAGAAACAGTCTCAGCATTTTGTATTTTCTTTTGAACTGGTTCTCGGTCCCATGACTACCTACAAGTCTGGTTTATTTTATATGCATATGATTTGGGACCAAATACTCTGTGCCAAATTGGAACTCCTGATATGTATTCCTTCACACCTCTTAAGGTGTGCAGCCATTGACGGCAGCATGATTTTAGACTATTTTCATAATAATAAAGCAGAGAAACATTAGAAAATTAATATAGACTGGGCTTCACATTTAGTAATGCTATCTAGTATCAGTAAACCTAACTATTTTGCAAGAAATTTTATAATACTTTAGCTTGTCCATAAATTGTAACCAATAAGACAGATTCTTTCAAGAGAATTATGTAAAAATGAAAGATGTTGGCAATTATAAAAACATATCAGGTGCTGAGATGACCATATCTTAACCATTTATGTATCAGAAGGCCAGATTTGTCATTCCACTTGGGAAATGAGAAAACCAAATAATGTCAGCCAAGAATTAGTTTTCCTAATCATAAGTTGCAATCATGCAGTCACACCTATGGAGCAATGGCTGATGCATAGGCACATGGTATACAGTGGGATAGATTATCCAAAAGTTTTATTTTTGTCCTAGCAATTTTCTGTGGGATGTGTGAATTTATGGATTAGATACATGAAAATATGAAAATACAACACATTTATGCATAATTAATTTCAAATTTTACTTTTAACTTAGATATAAGGAGAAAAATATAAATACTAAATGAAATTATGAAACTTCTTTTCTCTAGTAAATTAACTTCATTTGTGACAATCATAAATAAATTTGTAACAATTTTACCTCATAGCGGTCACTCAACTGCATCAAATCTGCAAGCTGTTCAGTGGACAGTTTCATGGCATCAAGTTGACCTCCATATAAGTATTCCAAAAATATATGGAATATTGTTGGATTTGTGTCGTGGATAATTATTTTTCTAGTAAAATAAAAATTAATTAGAAAGTTATCTGATTAATTATTTAAATCATAATTGCCATTTAAAACATTTTTAACATATTACAAAATTCATAACAAAATGAAAATATTTTTTACACTTACAAGAGATCTCAGTACTGTTATTAGTTAGTAATGATATTAAATATATCAGATATAATACATATAAATTGAAAAAACATACACATAGGTCCATCACATATAATTACTTATAGTATGCAATTGAATATGATGATATTTAATTGCATGCTATAAGTAATTATATAACCAATATATGTTTTTTTATGATGTTTCTATATGTATGAAATAGAAAATGAAAGCAGGCCTATCTTATTGTTTATACCGTTTATTTATTTTACATTTTATATGCATAATGTGCTTCCTGAGTTTTGCAACTTTTTAATCAATAAACTTTTACCAAAGATACAGAAAGCATTAATAATAAAAATATTTTTTATGATTTCAGTCTAAATCAAAATCTATATTAGACAAAAATTTTCTATGTAAATAGTAATTTGATAAATTTCATACACAAAAAAAAAGTAAAAAATAATTGGTGTTTACATTATATTCAACAATAACTATAAAGAAAATAGTACTCTTATTACTTCTAATGTATTTATGTTTTCAGAAAAAGTGTTAGAATAAATTTTCTTTTATCAACTTCTAATCTTGTAGCCTGAAAATTTTTACAATAAGATATTGTATTAAAATATCATTTTCATTATATTGTTTAATTATGAATTTGATAATTTTGCAATTATTTCTATTGAAGATTTTTCAGTTCAATAATCAAATAAATCAAATTTGATTATTGAACTGACTGACTATTTAACTTTCTGTTTTCAATTTAAATTGTGTGTGACATCTAACCTGATTTTTGTTTAAATTTTAAAATTTTGCAAAGATTTAATCTGATTTTCTATACAGATCTGAAAAAGTTTACTTAGCGAGCATGAGCTTATAGAAATTTATATTTTACATCTTGTAAAATTATTAAAAATCAAAGTACAAACTTGTCTATGGATTCTCTCATCCCACTGAGAAGAGCTTTCCTAAACCAGTCACAACGTGATGCTATTATCACACAGTGCGCTTTAATGACGTGTCTCTTCTCTTCTTCATGCGCAGAAGCAATTTTTGTTTGTTCACGAGTTTGATCGATTAAGCCATCCGAAGAGTCTAAAAAGATTGGAATAATTATACTAATTGAATAAAAATAAAATTTTAAATGTTTAAAACAAAACTATAATTTTATATTATTCTAATTCTAATAAATACCACAGACTCTGGAACCTATATATATATGAACCAAATTTTTGCTTACCACACAACTTCCAACACAAAAGGTATTCTAAGACAAATGTTTTTGGCCTTCAGAGAACCTCTTCAGGTAAAGGAATAAAATAGAAATATAGTTGTACTGTGCTTCCACACATTCAAAAAATTTAAACTAGATAAAGCTAGCAATATTCAAACATCGTGTGCTTAAGGCATTCTTAACTGTTTAAAAGTTTCATTCATTCAACCAATAGCAATTCTGGTTATTTTTCTAGATGTTCTTAAAATTGGATAATATAAATATAACTAGCAGATTCAGATATTAAAAACTAAACCATATCAGGAATCCATATGCAAACTCAGCATAACTTGCCAAGCTTGTAATAGATTTAATTTGTCCTTGTTATTAATGTAGCCTCTGATACAGTCCTGTTTGTAGATTTCGATAGTTTAGGCTATTTCAATTTTTTGCTCTGTCAAATATAGTTCTCAAAAGTCTAGCTTCAGGCCAACATGGTATTATTTCAGATTCTGATGCAAATTGAGCCACAGCAGTCATGTGTTTCTTATTTTTGATATTATAGATGCCAGCAATTTATAGTTAGAGCCTACATACATCTGTCATGTAATAAATCCATTATCTGTTACTGTACTATATATATATTCCAGGCACTCTGTATATTTACTTTATCCTTCCTATTGGTTAATGGCTTAAAGACCATTGGGTATCATGTGAAGTCCCAGACAGAATTTGAAATTAAGTGGTAACATGTTAACAAATATCCAACGAGACAGTTATACTCTCACTTTTCAAAAATAAAGACAACACAATGTTTCACAAAGACTATTAAAAATTTCTTCTGTCAAAATGGTAAACAAAAAGCAGGAATTACGAAGGAGAGTTTTAAAGTTTAGAGGAATACTATCTGATCAGTATTGGTTTGAGCATCAATGTCGACTTGTAAGGAACTGAGTCCGAGCTGTATTATTATTTAATTTTTATTTTGCTTTTTATTCTATTTTGTTTGGGGGTTATGTTTAGTTAGGACGAAGGTTCCCTCACCTTAGTAATGAAAATGAGACAAAAAGAGACAAAGGAAAAAACCAACTCACCTACTAGACAATGCACTGTAGGGAAACTAACGCACACTTGTACTCCCAGGTGGAAATTTGAAAGAAGTTCCACAGAAAGAAGGGGCATGTGGGGTGGAACACCCACAGGCACAAAGTAGAGAACTTGCTAAACCTTGATAAAATAAACATCCCAAATATGTAATAAAAAAGAATAATGTAAAAGGATTTTGTGAGAAATGTCGGAAACTAGGTTGCATAGGAAAAGACATGCAAATTTATTATTAGAAGTTAAGTATGTAAATGAGGGGAGTGATTCCAAACATAATTGTGATGTCACCTCAGAGTATAAAATGAGCATAACCGGAGAAGACAAGTGAGGTGAGCCCCAGCCAGGGATAGAGTGAGGTGAATTCCAGAGAGAGACTGAAAGCAAGTCTTGAGGATAGCAATAGGAGTGGTTCAAAGGAAAAATGGATAAAAGAAAAGGTTCCTAGTATTGAGGTGACAGATAGGATTGTAGTTCATAAGATTTGTTGTACCTAGTTTAATTGATTGATATTGTCGAGTTCCAAGGGGAAATAGTTCATAAGTTATAGTAAATAAATTGTATTAGTTTTATTGGGTTTTTTTCAAATTGTTTCTTTCATTGAATAAATTATTTTTGATTCTTACTAATTTGTACATATTGAATAATTGAGTTAACATTAAATATTTGAGTTCCTTACTGACCCGTGTACATAGTTATTTCCGGAGCATGCGTAAGCCATGCCTGGCATACTAACCGCAAACCCGCATAAAGTACCCATTAGGTTAATGGTCGTAAAGTTTGGCGATAGTCCTGAATGCCTTACTGGCACATAGTTCCATGTCATATATAAAAAACTCAATAGTACTTTACAGACTTCTCCAGTGACCCAAAAGAATCACAGAAGAGATTTACAGAGAATGCAAAATCGAGGAGAGAACCCTTTAAAAACTCAAGGACATGACATTCTTTCTTTAAGATCCATTCTTTTTTCTCCATGATCCAAGTCAGAAGGAACTAACGTGCAAAGTCACATCTCATCCCGAAGCCATTCTTTCTACTAAGCCATTGCTACTCAGGATACAATTCAGCCTTATCAAAAATTTGTTACCTTTATTGTGCCTCAGTGGACAAACACCTTAACTTATCTGAACTTACCTTATACACAATTTTAATGGACGAAACAAACCCCAGGGACATTGACCCATAAGACATAAATCACCAAGGGACTGATTCGCTACATCCACAGCAACATTCAGGCTTTCTTTGGACACTCTCCTCTGACTGACTAATCAGAGTTGAATTCTTTGTAGGAAAAATTAATGAAATCTTGTAAGCATGTTTTGATTTAATTAAACAGGATAAAATTGTAAATGGTAAGCCTGTTTTAGTGTCTAATTCACACCCACATATGACCCTCTCCACCCTTTGACTATCCTGACAGTCACATCCAGTCGGCAACCTTACATGGGTAACTTTGTATTTTACGTTTGTAGCTAGCCTTGTGTAGAATTTATGGAGCTTAGGCTCAACAGCAAAGTATAACAACAAGTAGGCCAGAGAATGCTTGGATCATAGCATAATGTAGTATAACAATATAGATATAGATATAGAATATAGAGTAGATATAGATAAAAGTATACTGTACAAAGCACAAAATAAAATTCTAGTTAGTGTGTTCTGGTTTCAAACTAATCAAGAATAAGAATAATCTGAAAAAATTGAAATGGCATGTTAATTAAACAATCATAAAAGGCAGATTTGTACAGTTCTGCATGTTAAGGTATGTAAAATTATGTCCAGGGAATTGAAAAAAAAACTGGAAAAAATTCCGTCATCCAATAAGTCAGTATATTTGATAAACCAGCACCATGTTGGTCCCGACGATGTCGGGTTAACAAAATGCCACTAAGTTGTATTTAAAAATTACTCACCTTGAACAGTCACAATTTCAAATTTCATGTCTGTATCATTTCCACTTTTAAGAAGTTGAAGTGCATTTTTTGCAAGAGTACTTTCTCGAGAAAATGGTGGATGACAAAGTGATTCAAATATACCTAACTAAAGTTAAACATGACATTAAATAAATATTCAAATTAATATAAGGAATAGTTTATATTTCATTCATTAACATCAATTCTCATAAAAAAAAATTATTTCTTAAAAGTATATACCACATTTCTCTGAAAATAAGATTGGGTCTTATATTAATTTTTGCTCCAAAAGACACGTTAAGTCTTATTTTTAGGGAATGTCTCATCCAAAGCTGCTCATTTAGATATTTACAAATATTTAATTATAATTTATATTATCATTTATTTTAAGTATTACTGTCAATAATAATATTATTATTTTTTAATTCAATATGTCTGGCATGAGTTGCAACAGATTTATTAAATATGACCATCTGGCTGACAATCTTAACTGGAGCTTATTTTGGGAATAGGGCTTATATTACAAAAATCCTGAAAAATCATGCCAGAGCTTATTTTCCAGTTAGGTCTTATTTTAGGGGAAATACAGTATTTATAATGCTATTTTTATTATAAGATATATATTTTATCAATATTATTTCATATAGAAATATATGAAATAATATTGCATTCATTCTAACAATAAATAATCAAAGAAACTATTATTGATATTTTATATATTAATTATAATGTAATACAATCAACTCAAAATATTAGGAATACTCGAGGAACAGTAGTTAGTTTGCTTTATTGAAAATTTGTATTATTGATTTTTACAATCAAGATCAAGGTTGTATAATTTAGAGATTTAATGTTTAATAAGCAATTGAAATCTCAAAAATTATAATATTTTGAATTAATTTATTAAATAAAGTTAAATAAAATAAAATATATTTATAAAAACAAATTGATGTTCTAAAGAATTTTCAAATCAAACAAAATGAGGAGGAGATATTATTAGCCATTTAATTGTGGAGCAGTATATAAGTTAAAAGTGTTTAAACAAAACAAAGCTTAAAAATATCTGTGATTTTTTCAATCCGTGAAAAATAGAATATACAGTGGAATCTCGGTATACAACCTTAATCCGTTCCCGATGTTTGGACTTATACCGAATTGGACGTATTCTAAAGCAGACGTATACCGAGGTATCACTGTACTTTTCTGTGCCAAAATAGAGTAAATAAACCAGCAATGAGTTGCTAAACCTTCCTGGCAACATTTATAATTTCAGTGGTACCATCTGTTATCGTATTTTATTACAAAACTTTTATATTTTTAACTCTTATAAAATGGCTAAAAGCNGGACGTATACCAAACCAACCTTTCCCATAAGAAGTAATGTAAAAATGATTAATCTGTTCTCGTGTAAAAAAAATGGCTGGCTTTAAACACCTCGCTTTCCTGGCTAGTTCCTGCTTGTTTTTTCGTGAGATCAGCGTGTATCTTTTTAGCTTTCTCGCAAATAATTGCTTCCGATACGCTGTCTCCAGCACTGTTTTTCAGTTAACCAAAGCAAAAGCAATTTCTCGACATGATCTAATGTCTTCGATTTCTGTTTAGAAATTCATTTAACCCCTTTCGCAACATTAGCAGATTTAATAATGTCTTTATTTTTCGTGATTGTCCATATCGTCGTTCTCGGAATACGGTAAACAACAGTTAAAAATCTCGAACATGCGTGCCACCTTCGTATTTCTCAACAATCTCTTTCATCAGTTCCATTGTAATTCTAGTAATTTTTTTAGTTTTCTGTCGCTTTTCATTTGCCTTTTTTGGGATTCGTGATTAATAAAAATAATAAAATTTTACTTACGAATTAAAATCAGAAGAAATTAAACAAAGTTATAAACCGTTGCACCGCGAACGTTTAGTCTGGTCTAGTACACCGATAGTGCTACTTGTTCATTGACGGCGTATAATTGAATTATGTCGTATACCGAACAAAAGTCGTATACCGAGCAAAATTTGTTTCGTCCAAACAGGACATATTCCGAATTGGACGTATTCTAAAGCAGATGTATACCGAGGTATCACTGTACTTTTCTGTGCCAAAATAGAGTAAATAAACCAGCAATGAGTTGCTAAACCTTCCTGGCAACATTTATAATTTCAGTGGTACCATCTGTTATCGTATTTTATTACAAAACTTTTATATTTTTAACTCTTATAAAATGGCTAAAAGCTTAATTTTGAGGGTATGGGTGGGTTTTATAAAAAATTGTAAATGCTGATAATGAATAAATTTGTCATTGTGTCTGACCCTACTGGAGATACACACAATCCCCATTATCCCCACCCCTCAACTTTTACTACTAAAATTTAATAGCATCAATCTCCTAATAAACAAATCTAGCAAAATTTCAGAATTTTTCAACAAAAAGCACAGGAACTTATTAAGCTTCAAAGATGATTAACAAAATCGCCATACACAAACATCCAAACATACAGAAAAACTTCTTAAATTTTTTTTTGCATTTCTCAATGTTTAAAGGTTAAAGGTTTAATTAAAGGTCATTTTTTTTTACTGATTGCCATACTCTATTTTGTTATATATAACAGCTGGAAAAGTAAAAAGGCTGACTCCAGGCCTACTCTTTGCTTCCAAAAGTTCTAAATTAAAATTATCACAAAATGGCAACTTAATCAACTAGACAAACTGCTCTGTATCTAATTATTAACCTAATCTTATTATAGCCTGATAATTCAGCAGATCATATGGTTTTAAATTTGGCAGCCATTAGATTTCTTTCTGTATCAAAAGTGCTCTGCATACCCTCATGGGTATGCAGAGCACTTTTGATACAGAGTGTTTCCCACTGTGATACAAAAGTGATACAAAAGTGTTTCCCAGTTTGTGCAGAGCACAAACTGGGAAACACTTTTGATTACCACAAACTGGGAAACACTGAGGTAGATCATAGAGAATGTCAAAAGATTAATAGAAATTTAAACTAACACATCTAATATAAAAATTCCAAGAATTTAAAAAAAAAGCATTGAAAGAATTTTTTGAGTATTGTCCTAATTATTCTTATTACATTAATGCTTTTTATCTTTTAATTATCTTTAGGTAATAATTAAATTCATAAATTTGAAATTATACATCAAATATAATTGAATAATAGTACCTGTTTGTAGCATATAGGACTATGAAGAGGAGTATTACAACAACTTGCACTGGCAACAGGACTATTTCCTACACTTTGTCCTTGTCCTTGATTGGTTTGAGAACTTGGTGGAGTACCTAAGAGACCAAGTTGCACTAAACTCCTAGTAAACTGTTCTCTATTAATCAGTTCACTAATATGAATTATCATTGTCTGAAGTGTAGCTCGATGGCAAACTAATTTACTTAACACCCAGGCCTGAAAAAACAAATGAAATACAAAATAGATACTAAACAATCACACCAAAAATAAAATGAAAGTTATTTCTATATTTTAAAATTTTATATTAATAATATATAGAAAATTAATAAAGTCATAATTATATCTGAAAACACATCTGACTTCACTTATAAAAGAAAATACAATCTTTGCTACAGATTTTTTATTCAGTATCTACAATAGATCTGTTTGTTATGTTTTATGCCATCTCCCTTTCTCTCCAAGGACACCACAAATCAGTGAGATACTTATTGCATTATTTATGGATCCCATTACCTTGGAATATTACTGACTATATCTACTGTAAAGTTATGTTTTACTTGAATTTGTTTCATGAATAGTGGACTATCTATTCTTTTGATTATTAATGAAGACTGATACAAGTTGAAACTGAAGAATTTTTTTGGTCACAGACTTTTACAAATATCAATGCAGAATTCCACTAGACCTACTTTTCATCCTCAATAGTCAGGATTAGTGCATTGCCAAAAATATGTCATCACTCAAAGTGCCATCATGCATCAATGGCATTTTGAGAATCTTAATTAGGAACCATCAGTTACAAGTAGAATTATTTCAAAATTTGGCACATATCCCTTTTCTATTTGTGTTATTAATAGACTATCTGAGCAAACATTAGAAGATTAAAAAATTTGGAACTATTTATTATGAGTTATTACAGAAAATACAGAATTGAAATTATAGAGAAAAATTTGGTTTTAACAAAAAAATAAAAGATGTGAGGATTAAAAGAAAAAAAATATATAATGTATAATTTAACTCCATAATATACCAATCTCACATTTATTTTTCTGCTTGAATTGGACTTCATAAAAAACAAAATCACCACAAATTGACTAAGTGCTTCCAGACATTTTTTGTTCATCCTCAGTGTTAGTGTCTCTACTACTCAAAAAACAATCTTTTCAGAGTGATATAAACTCTGAGGATGGACAAAATGTCTGAAAGTACTTAGTTTGCTGTGAATATGGTGTGATGAAATTCTTTCATTCTTTTCTCTACAAACTTTCAGGTGAATTTCAGAATTTTGAAACAGCACTTCTAACATTCAAAGGTTTTACTTGGTGATGACTTTTATTTGTTTAATTTACTTTTACATATGCATTTTGAAAAGTTCTGAACAATTTTTAAAAATTCATATACTTCCAGATCGTATACTTTTAAAAAAAACTCATAAAAAACAACTCACTTATCCATAATGTTAAATTGTATATTTAACATTACATTACATGTTTTTATTGTGTCTATTATGAGATTTTCAAAAACATAATACAAAAATTAGGACTAATCTTTGTATTGTGTCATAATAAAAAGTTATATATTTGTATATATTTTTTGACACAAAGAGAATTACTAATTTTTGCTTTTTAATTTATAATTCAAAAATTAATTTTTAATTTATAATTCAAAAAAAAAAAAAAAAAAAAAAAAAACGCACACATAACGCCGACCTCAGTGCCTTCCCTTTTTTACAATAATTTATAATTAAATTATGTATGCTACACTTACCACTTTTGATGTACCCAATTTAAATAAATATTTCCATTCTTTCCAAGTTAATTTTTCATCAACTGCAGATCTTAATTCTTCTATCCTCATAAGAAAAACAGGAATCTGAAAAGAAAATACATAATTTATAAATATGTCATTTTTTAAAAAGTTAACAAATTTCTTAAAAAATTTAAGTATGAAAACAAACCTCTTCTATTAATTGTTCCAAATTTTTTGCAATACAACGAATCTTGTTTCCGGATGTCATTTCATTAAAATTCTCTCTAAGATTCAGATTTTTAAAAATAACTTCTTAAATACAATTTTTTGATAATTTACTTAAAATTCAAATTTAAAAATTTTATTTGAAAATTGAAAATCATTGTACCAAACATTTCATTGGATAAAATCAAATCTATACGTAAAACTGATAAAATTTACAAAACCTAAAAGACCAATTTTTATATCTGAATTCTTTTCAAAACATCAAATAATGTAAATAATCAAATTTAGAAAAGTAATATGAACTACAGTAACTATGCTTTTGTTTGTCATTGCCTACTCTCAGGACCATAATAGACATTTATCACTGGGTGTGTGGAGGCTGATTTTACCTGTGACTGATAACAAAAGTTCTAAGTACCAGTCAAGAACACTGGCTCTCCTCCCTATTCTCTGTGGTGGTACACCAATATATTTTTGTTATATTTTTATATATATGTATATATATGATTTTCTATCTTTCCTTCTTTCTTTGTTCTGTGTTCCTTTGTCTATACTTTCTGGAACTTTCATCCAGGTGTGGGTGGTCGATGACCTAATTAGGAGACAAAGGTTTAGAAATAGCCCAGAGGGCAAGTGAGAGACTAAGTGAGTACCTTCTGGCTTTGGACCTAGAAGAGGGAAGACTGTCGGAGAGAGGTCTCCAGGTCGGTGTTGCTTCGGCTGAAAGAGGCACGAAGAGCATGTAAGGAAGAAGTAGAGTTGATAAGGACATTGGTAGGCCAAAAGATAAAAGACATTTTTTTATTTTATTATCGCATGCGATCCGTCCCCAAAAGGAAAAATCCCAAGACGAAGTCATCCAGCAGCCGCCACCCCAATCGCCAACTCGGGTACCCGTTCCATCCTAAAATATATTTCCGTTTCTCTCTTCTAATCTAACTTTCTTTTCCTTTTTCCTTTTCTTTTTAGATATAAGTAGGTTTAAGTTAGAAGTTAAGTCTCTCTTTGTATCGCAAAAGTCTTGCTCGACTGTGAATCGAAAAAGGTGTTGTTTGTTCGTTTGCTTGATGTAAGGACTCAGGAGGTCGGAATCAACAAGAACTTTTCCTGTATATGTTCACAGAAAAAAAATAAAGCACGTGTTATTTGTTTTATATACCCGTCTCTTTGTGAAATCAACCCTCACCACGTGCATATTACAACATCTCCTTATCCCTCTTCTTTATGTTATTGTATACCTCTTAATTTTGAAAAAATATATTATGTTTTTGTTGGTGGTATAACTTTTCTGATTATTCAAAAGAATTTATTGACATTAAAGGGGTGAAGTACCCTTAAACTCCCTAGTTGCTTTGGTCTTGTCTACTTCAAATGAATATGAGTATTGGTTGGGATAGCATATGTGAGTGCTTTAAATGAATATTTTACATTCAGCTGTTTTGTCAGCATTGAGTTTAATATTCTATTGTATTCTTTTATTAATCTTTTTTTGACATGGGCATTTTCTGTGAGTTTAGCACATTGAATTTCTAAATATTTGTAAACTTCTTTTTCATCCATGGATTCAATGATGTTTCCATTTAGGAGAGCAAATTCTTTCTTCAATGTTTCTTTTACTACATAAAATGTTTTGCTTTTGTGTTGGCCAAACTCTTTTCTTATGTCAGTGGAATAAGAGTGGAATAAATTTGTGCAACTTCTAACAGATGATTGGGCTGCAATTTTCAAATTGCAGACCTATAAATTCCATTTATCCATCTGTCTGTCCTTTCTTAATCTCAAGAACAAAGAAGTTAGATAGATGAAAGTTGAGACCAGATATGAAAAGTTTAGGGGCAGGCAATCCCAATTAACTATATACAAATTACCAGTCTGTTGCATGATTTCAGTTAAAAAATTTCATCCAGAACAAAATTTAATAGATGACTGGTATGACTCTATTGTTAACAGAAAAAGTATGATGTACAGGGCAAGCAATTCTAAAATCAAAAGCATATATATTAAATTAAATAAATTAAAAAAAATGATTAAAAATTGCAGTCCAATACTGTGATGAAGTACCCATAAAATGGGGAAATATGTATTGTGTTTTTCTGTTGTGTTTGATATTGTATCCATGATTACAGGTTCCTTGCACCCACTGTACCCCACTATAACTGGCCACAGTAGGGTACAGCGGGTGCAAGGAACCCAGGCCCTAACTGTACATGGGGAAAAAGAAGATAAGAATAAATAACAAAAAAAGAAAAGTTTTAATTAAGTTATTTGGTTAAAATTAATTTCATTTTATAAACTTGATCTGATTAGTCCATGCTAAAGTTGAAATGGCTGTGACTAATGTACAGTACTTTGAATTTATCTTGTTTGATTGATTGGTGTTGATTAAGGATTTTTTCTTCTTCTATATTTTTTCCCTAATTGGGTTAATTGTTGAGATTGTGAATAATTGTAAATTGTACTAGTGATCACATTTATTGTTGTAAACATTAAATTTGAAATTTGTAATACAGTCGACCCCCCTATAACGTACGTTCCTATAACGACAATTCCTATAACGTAGTGAAAAAATTGTGGCAACTTTCGTATAAAATACCTCCTATAACGTCGTTTCGCGACAAGATTGATAGAGTCTGGACCAATAGTGGATGAGCAGCCGAACTACTTTCCTCCGACCCTGCGCCACGCTACGGAGCGGCTAAATTGAGTTTGCTATCGTCTGTTTAGTATTATATATAAATTATATATAAATTAGGTACTGTACATATAATTATATATTAATTATATATAAATTAGGTACTGTATATATAATTATATATTAACTTAATTTATTGTAACTTTATTATAATTATATATATGCTTTCTGCCGCCTGGCAACACGCTACGGAGATTTTAGGCTAGTAAGTTGAGTTTATTATCGTCTGCACAGTATGTAAATTAGGTACCGTAAGTCTAATACAGCACTAATTTTATACATTTCTTGTGAAAGAAACACTTCTTATTCAACGGCCATAAAAATTATTTATATTAATGATGTCTCCAAAGGTCAAGTTATCTTTCTGCGATAAATTATTTATCAGATATCGCGGCCGCCGTTTCGTGTGCTGTTCCGCGACGAAGACAAGCTTTGAACAACGGGCGTAGTCGAACGGTACACACTCGGTAAGTAATCCTATAATTTTTTGTTTATAGCATAGTTTATACGGATTACTCCCAAAAAATTATACGTGTTTTGGAAATGTTGAGTCGAATTAGTCTAGAATCGGTTAATTTTATAGAAGAAAACCTTTCGAACAGCCTTAGTCCGTAAAGTTCCCACCTATCGGGCTGCGATTGGCTCATGTATTTAATCGTTCCTACAACGTAATTTTCGGTTAGCGTGGAACGTATCTAAGCGTTATAGGGGGGTCTACTGTATTTGAATTTTATACTAATTATTGTTGTTGGAATTATAAATTTTGTTTTTTGTCAGAAATGAAGCAAATAAATGAATCTAACGATGCACAGAAATATATAGTTAGATGTAACATTGTGAGGATCGCGAATACCGTTGACAAGAGACACAACTTTTACAATATGAAAGTCTTTTATTCGCATACAGAGTACAGGAAATATTTATAAGATGCCAGCTACTATCTCTATCCCTGAACATATATCTTAATTTTTAACAACATAAACCCAACAAACAAATTAAATAATGCGACACTTCTTTAATTTAATAACTATTCTACTGATAGACCATACACTCAGATCTTAGGACTAAACTTACGGTTAATGATTATATACTAAAAGTGAAAACTAGATTTTAGACAAGACAGAAACTAAGAGATAAAGATGAAAGAAACAGGAAGTCGGGTACCCAAATGTTTCCGGCGTGTTTCACGGGGAATGAAAAGTTCTTTCCTACGGACTTTCTGATTTCACTAGACACTTTAGAATGAATGAAAGCAACCTTCCCAGTATTCGTTCTCTTCTGTTTTCTTTTCTCTCCCTAAAGTTCGTTTTGGTTTCCACTCGGTTCCAATACCTCCGAAAGCCTGCTTCACACGTCCTTTTCCGTCTCGTACTCTCTACCAGAATGACCTCCTCGACCCCGTTATACCCTGAGGGTCACACACCTTCCCCTTTGTTACTCAGGGGTCACCCGCTGTTCCACCGTTAAACAAAAGTAGGGAGAAACTTCCAGAAAGAAAGACAATAGAAATGAAGACAAGGGAAATATTTTAAATAAAAATATAAACTATAACTATACAATTATGACATGTAGCCACAACATGAAGAAAAGCTGAATGAGGGTAGACAACATGCCATAAAACGGACGTAGCAGACCAAACAAGATTGTAACCTATGATCAAAACAAATGTAAAGCGCACCAACAGTACATAGCACTGTCTAATACAAATTATGTCTTAGTACATAGAGATTACACTTTTGCTTTCTTTCACAGTTTTGTAGTCAGAAAATCCAATACTAGCATTTAATATAGTTTAATAAAGTTTTTGATATTTTACAAACTCTGGTGCAGAGATTGTTTCTTTGATAATTTGGATATTATAAATTTATTTCTAATTATTAAATTTAACATGAGATGGTAACTTAACTGCCTACTTCATAGCCAAATTACTTAATTCCTTAATAATTAATTAACATTAAAGTAACCCAATAAAGAATTTGGCTGTTCAATTGATATTTAAATATTTAAATTAACTATTAGGTTGATTATGATATAACTTATAATGTAAAATATTTTTAATATATATATTGTTACATGTTAAATAATATTTATTACAATTATGATGGGAAAGGTGCGTAGCCTGGAAGGTGGATAGTACCAGATAGAATTTTTCTTCTTTTCTACGATACATGGTATCACCTATTCTATGAAGATAATANTGTTTCACAGGGGTCCCCCGCTGTTCCACCGTTAAACAAAAGAGGGAAGAAACTTCCAGAAAGACAATAGAAAAGGAAGACAAAGGAAAATATATAAAGAAAATATGAATTATAACTATACAATTATGGCTTGTAGCCACATATGCCCCATACAAAAAGTTGTCAATTA